GCCATGGCCGCTCTTTCTCCTCCGCCCGGCTACACCGCCTGGGATAGCTCTCTTCCCGCGCCGGCGCCATTCTCCGGCGTACCTCCATTGACAGACACCGTGCCGGATGATGTATCATCTGTTACGCATTGGACGCCGTCCCATTCTAGTACCCTCTACAAGATTGATGGTTGGGGAGCGCCTTACTTCTCCGTCAACTCATCCGGCAACGTCACCGTCCGTCCACACGGTGCCAAAACCATGGTTCACCAAGAGATAGATCTCCTGAAGGTCGTCAAGAAGGCCTCCGATTCGAAATCCAACCGAGGCCTAGACCTACAGCTCCCGCTCATCATCCGATTTCCCGACGTCCTGAAAGATCGCCTTGAATGTCTCCAATCGGCGTTCAATTACGCCGTAAAGTCCCAAGGGTACAGCTCCCATTACCAAGGCGTTTATCCCGTGAAATGCAATCAGGACCGGTTCGTCGTCGAGGACATTGTCAAATTTGGATCCTCGTTCAGGTTCGGATTGGAAGCTGGATCCAAACCTGAGCTTCTTCTAGCCATGAGCTGCCTCTGCAAAGGAAGCTCCGAATCTCTCCTGATTTGCAACGGTTTCAAAGATGCAGAATACATTTCGCTAGCTTTGATTGCTCGAAAGCTTTCATTGAACACCGTCATTGTTCTCGAACAAGAGGAAGAGCTGGATTCTGTAATCGATATAAGCATAAAGCTAGGCGTTCGACCCGTCGTCGGGGTCCGTGCTAAGCTCCGGACGAAGCATTCCGGCCATTTTGGATCGACTTCCGGCGAAAAAGGTAAATTCGGTCTCACTACGACGCAAATTATCCGTGTTGTGAAAAAGCTTGAACAATGTGGCATGTTGGATTGCCTTCAATTGCTCCATTTCCATATCGGATCTCAGATCCCTTCAACGACCTTGCTTGCTGATGGCGTTGGTGAGGCCTCTCAGATTTACAGCGAATTAGTCCGCCTTGGTGCTTCCATGAAAGTTATTGACATAGGTGGTGGCCTTGGGATTGATTATGATGGTTCCAAATCGACCGATTCAGATGTCTCTGTTGGTTATACTTTAGAAGAATATGCAATGGCGGTTGTTCAGGCGGTGAAGTTTGTTTGTGACCGGAACTCCGTGAAGCACCCTGTGATTTGCAGCGAGAGCGGACGTGCCATTGTATCCCACCATTCAATTCTGATATTTGAGGCAGTTTCTTCAGGCAAGTACACCGTTCCAACGATGTCTTCTTTCGACATCCAGCGATTCATCGAGCGGCTTCCTGAGGACGCTCATTCTGACTACCATAACTTGTCTCAATCTGCTGTCAGAGGCGAGTATGAAGCTTGTTTGGTCTATGCTGATCAATTGAAACAAAGATGTGTCGAAAAATTCAAACATGGGTCGTTGGACATCGAACAATTGGCTGCTGTCGATGGGTTGTGTGATTTGGTTGAGAAGGCAATTGGGGCATCCAATCCCGTCAGCACTTATCATGTTAATCTTTCGGTTTTCACATCAGTTCCTGATTTCTGGGGCATAGGACAATTGTTTCCCATCATTCCAATCCATCGCCTAGACGAACGCCCAGCAAAAAGAGGAATTTTGTCGGATTTGACTTGCGACAGTGATGGAAAGATTGACAAGTTCATTGGAGGAGAATCAAACTTGCCCCTTCATGAATTGGAAGGAGAGAACGGAATGAAGTACTATTTGGGGATGTTTTTAGGAGGGGCTTATGAAGAGGCTCTCGGAGGCGTCCACAATTTGTTTGGTGGCCCTAGCGTGGTCCGTGTGTCTCAGAGCGATGGTCCCCATGGCTTTGCTGTTACCCGAGCCGTGCCAGGCCCATCCTGCAGTGACGTTCTCCGTTCAATGCACCATGAGCCAGAGATCATGTTTGAGACCCTTAAGCACAGGATTGAAGAGTATGTTCATGA